GGTATTTTAGGGTCTTTTGTTTGTGTGTGGGGCCCTTGTCTAGACAGTCCTAGGTAGCCATTATGTAGGTCAGTTTCACTTCACGTGGCTCAGGTGCACAGTGGAAAGGCACGATGTCTCTCTCAGTTAAGAAGTTGCAGATTAATTGTTTGTCCAAAATAATTTCTAGTGTCAGGTCTGGTTGCTTCTCTGCCAAGAGGAGGTGTCAGATGAGAAGGGTGAAGTACAAAGTGTCTACCACCCCATGCAGAAAAAGCTGGACTCCCCAACCTCAGGTCTTCAGCGTTGTCATGCCTTTAACTAAGGCAGCACAAAGTAGGTTGGCTGGTAATGGCTACGTGCCATTTACTAAATTTTCCTTAGCCATTTAGCTAACTACTTTGTAAATAATAGGAGTTTACCCAGATGCTGCACTTTTATTGATGCTTTTTTCCTTTATTAAAAGAAGGCGCCATAAGTCAGTGGTATTAATAATATGACCCAACAAACAAAGAATAGTAATCAATGTGGAACGTCATGCCTAATTTGTGCAGTAATTATTTCGGCCTACTTTGTGTGCTTTCTCCATCACCGTTACAATCACAACAAAGATACACTGACCATGAACTAAAATACACCATCAGTACACAAGTCAGTGGTCATCACCCACAGATCTACTCAGTCACGGGTGTATTAAGAAGAAATATATGCCAGATTACAAGATTTGCAACCCATTCATTCCTCTGAAAGTTGTTCAATGGCTCATACTCTGAAAAAACTCATTCCTTGGAATTTGTGACAGAAATGTTTTCACAGTTTTACAGCAGCTCCTTTTCCAGTGGTTCTCTATTCGGAAAAATGCTTGTGATGAACACAGAAGCTGCAATAATGCGGCTTGGCCACGACAATAACATTACTTTTACTGCCCAGCACTGTTCCTGGGGGCTTGAACCGAATTTCCTACTGCTCTTACAAAATGAATAAAACACAAACACTGAGAGCTTGGCAGTTTTTGTTACATTGGCTATAAATTTGTAACCGCCACCCACCTGCACTGGCCATTCCACAACAAAAGTACAACAACGGTTGGGAACTCTTTCTCCACTCGGCTTCCTCGTCACCGAATGTCTCTCAGACATTCATAACTCTACAATCAGTATTGACCATTCAGTTCTTGTGAATACTATTATTGCCCTTTCTCCCTCTCTTTGACACACACACACAGGCATTCAGTAATGCATTGCAGTGTGCTGTTTTCAACAACACATAACTGTGCATTCAAATGCACTGAAAGTATCTGATGTGAAAACACGTAGACCTTCTCTCAGTCTCTCTCTACCCTGCTGTCTTTGTGAGGGAAAACCTTAGTGGCATTTCCCAGCAGGTCTGTTTGACCTTCTCCTGTTTGTTTAGCCTCCTCTTACTCCTGGCTCATCCATCACACACCCAAGCGGGTGGCTGAACGACAAAGGCGGGCAATCCTGACCTGGGCCTGTGACCTAACGGATTCACACCAGTCAATATTAGTTTCTTTTATCCATGAGGGTAATCTTTCTCAAACATGACCACAATCTGTCTGTAACCTTAAAGCCACATTGATTTCTTTTGTGTGTGTGAACACTTATTGTATCATTTAAATCACTTTGACAGTTTTCATTTTGTAGAAAAACGAGATAAACTTGAGTCAGCGCAGCCTATGGCCCCCAGTTTCTTGATGCTGTGCTATGGTGGTTTGACCAGTCACGGTATGTGCAAAGCCAGTTGTAAGAGACATACAGTAAAGGCTTTTGGAACATTCTTATTATATTTACACATAAAATCATGTTGAAATATGTGATTTTATTCTATAGGACTGCATTAAAAATGTAAAAGTATCATTTAAAACCTTATATAACATTCCTTTAATATTCCTATGAGGAATAGTAGCATAGGGCATATGTTTACTTTTCATTCTTTCATATATTTTTTAAAGTTAGAGTATTCCTACAGTACAAGGGGAACTTGTGGAACTGTACATATGGTTTGTTGTACAGTATGAGGTTCTATTTAAATTCCTGCTTCCTTTCTAATATTAACTGTGAACAGTATGAGTGCTAACAATATATGGTTTGAATGGGAGTTAGTGTAGACAGACAGTGTTAGTAATGTTCATATTGTCAGCCACTGCAGCAGTGATGTAATGGCCCAGACCCCCCCACCACCACCACTCCTCAGGCTAGACTCTTTCATTTTCCTTCTCTCTCTCTCTCTCTTTCTTTGACCACCTCTGCCGTGCCTCTCTTTTCATCTCACTCCGCCACCTGACCGCCATTCACTGCACTTTGCTCATTTTGTTGTTTTTGTCTTAAAAAGATAAAAATGTGCAGATCTGTAGGTTTGATGCCATGAGAAATGGTACTCAAAAAATTATATAGCACTCTGTGAACATGTTTTTCATTTTCAAAAGCCATAAAGTAACATTTTATACCTGAAAGCGTAGAAAATCAGCTTTTCTCCTTGGTTACTTTAGATTCATCTCTCTTATACTTTACAGGTTTATCCAAGAACAAATGTCTATGTCCTGAATACTGGATAATGATCAAAGATCTGTGGTAATCCTGATTATTGGTGTTTGGAAACACGTGTTAATCTATACACACATATTCATAGGCTGTTATTGCCTATGTTTGATGGACTAAATTAATGAACTAAAGCTGAATATTAGTTTGCTCAGGCTGGATGATATTATCCTTACCACAAATAAAACACCTTAGTTCATAATTACAATCAACTCATTCCCTACGCAAATTACATAACAGTTGTTTCATTCATTTCATTAAGTGCAGCCAGAAACAATAAACTGTAACACTGGAGGAGTGTCTTCTGTCATCTCTCACCACACCCCAGCCAAAAATGCCAGCTGGTGCGAGTGAGGTGGCAAAGAATTTTGAAACTGGGATTCTAAAGCGTCAGTGCAAAACAGTAATAAAAATATTAAGATGGAGCTATTCTCTGTGAAATCTATTGAATTTGTTTCTTGCACATACAGTAAAGCTCATGTACTCCAGTACGTGGGTCTTGTGTTCACCACGGTGTTTTCTTTAGAATGCTTTGGTGTCTCCTGTCAATACGTTATATTACACTGGCGATGTTTGGATGCTTTTGGTGTCATCTTTCTTTAATAACTAAAGTTTAAAGTTATGTATGTGCCCCCTCTCTTTCTCTCTCTCATACACAGAGAGATATGTTCAGGTAAAGTTAGGTAATGATTAGTCATCAAGTTTGAATTGAGCACAGGTTGTCAGAGTTGAGGTCTCCATATCTCTGTGCTCGATGTGTAATCAGCTGTCATGTTGAACTTAAGGTGATCATATGTCATTGTTGTGCTTTCTTGTTGGTTTAAACATTAGGGGTGTGCGTCTTCCCCTATGTGATGGAGTGGCCCCGTCACAAATTGCTGACGAAGTATGTGGATGTACACGCACTCAGGAATAGGCCTGCAATGTAGGTAGGCTGTGTCGGCTTTTTGTGCTGTTTGGTGGCTGGTCCTGGTGTTTGTCGTCCATCTGTCAATTGTGAATACGGTTGTGTGTGTGTGCTGTGTAATTAAATGCCAGTGTGATTTAATTGGTAGGGGGCGGGGCCTTCGGGATTAAAAAGGGATCCAGGTCCTAGCCTAGTTGAGTTTTACTGAGCTGTATAGAAGGCTACACCAGTTCTGCTGATGGTTGCAGTGTCGTTTGTTATGTGTTTTTGTGATATTAGTTTTTTTTTCCTATTTTTCTGCTGGGCACCTTAGACGACGTTCACAATAAATTATTGATCTACACTGCATCTACGACTACGCCATCCTTTATTTAACTGATGGCCATAGAAGGCCGCATGAAGCTTTGAACCCTTTTGGACCATTGTATCGAAAATTGGTTCACTACTCAAAGCTTCACTCATTGAACACGTGGGTGACATCTTCTGGTGCAGTTTGAGTAGTTTGGCCAGACGCTGGTTTAGATGGAAGTTTAATTGATTCATTTGCCCACGTTTATTGCATGTTTCTGAGAAGGGGTGGACCGACTTAAATACGGGTGCTTTGTGTGAACTAGGACATACAGATGATTGTGTGAAATGGTCGGATTATATTACTGGGTTGTCAAGTTTGCCAACCTTAGGGAGGAGGGTGATAATGTGACGGAGTGGCCCCGTCACAAATTGCTGACAAGTAGGTGGAGCAAGCGGATGTACAGGCACACAGGCTGTCGGCTTTTTGTGCTGTTTGGTGGCTGGTCCGGGTGTTTGTCTGTCAATTGTGAATACAGTTATGTGTGTGCACCATGTGATTAAATGCTGGGGTGATTTAATTGGCAGGGGGCGGAGTCACCAGGTTCATGTCAGGCCTAGCCACAGGAAGCTGCTTGTTCTTCATCTTGGCCTTGGCCATGTTGTACTCACCCGAGTCGAAGTACTTTTGCCTTTTCTGCAGCCTCTTCATGAGGAAGTCTGAGCCGTCGGGCTTCTGGCCCCGGCCCGGGTACTTTTCCTTCAGCTTGGCCTCCTCAGCCTTGACTGGGTTTACATTTTTCTCCTGGGAATCCATGTGGACAGAAGACAAAAGGAGAAATCTGGTCTCCACATGGAGGTGTGAGTTCAAATCACACTTCTGACTCCATATGTGACGGGGTACTTCTTTAAGGAAAAAATAAAGGTGCACAGCAGAAAAATTAAGACTAACTTACAAAAACACATAACAAACGACACTGCAATCATCAGCAGAACTGGTGTAGCCTTCTATACAGCTCAGTAAAAGTCAACTAGGCTAGGACCTGGATCCCTTTTTAATCCCGAAGGCCCCGCCCCCTACCAATTAAATCACACTGGCATTTAATTACACGGCACACACACACACAACCGTATTCACAATTGACAGATGGACAACAACAAACATCCGGACCAGCCACCAAACAGCCGACACAGCCTACACACATTGCAGGTCTACTTCTCTGTCACACCCTATCACCCTATCTGATACGCAGACAATACAGCAACGTTTCTAACAATACAGTGCAAATCAGAACGATTTAAATTTATTGTAGCTTCTTTTTGAAGAACTATACATACATTAAAATGTATGAGTTGGTGTTTCCTCAAAGCAGTTTTGTATTTCAAGTAGAAGAAAACAAATGTATAAAACATCATGTCTGTTCTTTTCAGTAGTTGTAAACACTGAGCTCTGGTGCACAATAACCTTTGTACTGTGTCCTCCCGCTGTTTCAGGGTGTCATATAGTGCTGGGATCCATTTTTCACTGAAGTCCTGCTGACTTCGTACTGTGTGCCTCAGCTTCAGAGTTACTATTATTTGCCTAAATCCCAAATGTTCAACAATGCAGGTAGCTTATAGCCTCAGTTATTTACTTATCAGCTAATGTGCTCTGAAAATAGCTGCTATAACACTAGTACTGTCACTGCCTCGCACTGGCTGCTCTTGCAGCTAACTGTACTGTTTCCATGGGTTCAACAATGTGTTGCCTTCATAAGTGAGTAGCGAGGTTCATGGTGCTCACACATTTTTACATCGTGGAAAAGTTGTTGTTTTTTTTACAGGACCTGTGTAGCCATGCCATTGAACCTCGGCAGGAAATGAGTGCATCACACATACACGTGTACACACTCACACAGAGAGAAGTAAGAAGAAACTTGCCAAAAATTGGTGTATGATATCCATATGGATGGATTTTAGATCATTTTTAAATGAATTTGGTTCAAATTTGTTTGTTGTTTGTTTTCAGTACTTCAGATATGTAAGCTATGTGAAATCATTGAGAGAACAGAATAGAAAGAACGGTAATCTATTTCTGTTTGACCACCTAGAACGTCACAGAGTATGTCAGGTTTGCCCGGCTGCGCCTGCCTTCTCACTCCCCTCACTCTGTTTTTGCTCCCTTACCTTGATTACGTTATCCGACACACCTGATTAGTTCTCCCTATTTATTCCCTGCTCTACGTTCACTCCCCTGCCAGTTCTTTCTAGCCGTATCAGGCCTGTTTGTTTCCCATTCTCATTTGCTGTATAGTATCTTCACGTTTTGTCGTCCTAGTGCTGTTCCAGTCTATAGCTCCATTGTTTCATTCCTCCTCGCCTCTGTCGCTTCTCCGGACCACGGACCTCCTCTACCTCCTTCTCCACCACGCAGGTCGATGCACAGTCTCCTACTAACTGTATGTACAAACTCTGTTCTTCCTCAGTACTTTCCACCACGACCAGCCCAGGAGTGAGTCCCAGCGTCTGCAGCCCGGTCTTCTCCTCATCATTCAGCCACTGACTGTATTCACTTCTGCAGCTCGACACCCCAGTCCCACTTCTACCTGATTATTCATTTCCTTGTTATATTTCACTGTAATTAAACTTAACACTGCTTGCACTGAAGTCAGCCACCCGAGTCCGTCATATTTTTGTGACTTGCTCACCCCTGTGTTCGAGCTGATCTAACAGAGTAGACTCTTGGCAGCTACATATCCGCTCTAGGTCAGCTTTGTAAAAGTGAAAAGGGACAGCCCTAGTGGCTGAAACACACAGGATAATTTAGATCCAAAATACTTTGCAAAGGTCATAATAACATGCTGGACAAAGTGGTGAGTGTGGAGACAGACACGGCTCCAGAGCTTCACTAGACCTGCTTCTGGTTTCTGTCTGCCGCCTGTGCTGTGTCATCACAGTGCAAATGTGTATCTACTAAAGGCATCCAGGTATCTGCCAAAAGTTTTCCTTACTCATTTCTTTTAATTATGAGACATTTCTCTTCAAAGCATTCAGTCCTCTCTTTCATTGGAAACTCTTGACCGTACTTAATAGAAGTTACATGGGCTGAACATGTAGGGCAGTGTGGTACATCTCACAATGAGCTTGGATTTTTTTAATGTCACATATGTTTATAGGCCTATAAAAATTATTTACTATATTTTTTTACAAAACATCTTTTCTCTTTAAAGATAGCTGGAAAGACGGTGGTTATAGAGCCATAACTTATAATACGATGCAGATGTGTGTCTTCTGCCTGAGGTGTGTCATCTCCTGGTGTAATGGACCAGCCTGCATATTTACACAGGCCTTTCCAAGGTCCTTGTCTGATGCATGACTCACTTGTGACCCTCAACTGCGGCCGAGCTGTGGCCAGTCTAAAAACGCTTCCTCTGCTTTTCTAAATATTGTTGGTTTCAGAGATCTGAGGCTGTGGCTCTTTTAGCTACAGGCTGGCATCATTTATTATTGTTTCAGTCCTGCTCTTCGTCTTCACTGTGAAGTATGACACCGATTAATGGACTGAACATTGGTAGTTTTTGATAATGATGAAAAAATAAATAACATTTGTTCCTTTAAAAGTAAAGAAATTAATATTGTCAAAAAAGCATGTTAGCAAAGATGACTCATCAGGAGTGGCCTTTGTCGTCTTCACAGAAATATTGAGTTAATATTTATGTGCCCCTGTTTTTGTAAAAAGATGTGCTGCCACCAGGTCATTTCTTTAGATGCCATGTGCTGAAAATGTGCCAAAACAAGACACTGTTGTAACTTTAGTGTGATTATCAACCTACTGCTGCATTTTTAAAATGGGCACATTAGCATCCCAGGATGCAAGCATCCTTTTTCTTGCTTCTCTCCTCCAGAACTCTAACTTCCTCTTTTCAGTGGGATGTAAGTACGTAAGCCACTTATTGCTGTATGGTAGAGAAAAGACCTGCGGTGCTGCTGACTCACTCAGCTTTGATCCTTTGGAAAAGCTGCAGTCCTCATCAGGACTTAAACTCTCTCCTGATAAAGATGTACAGACGGGTGGCAAATCAGAGGAAAAGCTAACATAAAGTGGCTCAGTAAGGTGCTGGGCCACCACGTGCTGCCAGAACAGCTTCAGTGCACTTTGGCATTGAATCTCCAAGTCTCTGAACTCTACTGGAAGGGTGAACACCATTCTTCTAAAAGATGTTCCCTCATGTGGTGTTTTGATGATGGTGGAGGAGATGCTGTTTAAAATCTAACATCTTCCATTTCATCAATATAGGAGAATAAAGAACCTTTGAATAAGCAGGGTGAATTTAAAGGACTAGTCTGACAAATTTCTTGCCTGGTTTTAGATGAGAAGACTGAACCTCGTGTCTGTCAATTAAGAAGCTGAGGGAAAATATGCAGTGCGCTATATGGTCTCACAGTAGGTTTTAATATTAGTAGTAAATAAGCACAATTGTTACCATGCAGATATTCACTTATCTTGTACCTGCAGGTGATCCTAATAATAACCCTAATCTGAGCTCAGGAGTCATAAAATACTCATTCCAACATTCAGATAATATTGAAATAATACAATATGGACCCTGTTACCAAAAGCAGATTGGTGGCAGCAGCATACGGCCAAATATGGACCCTGTTACCAAAAGCAGATTATTGGTGGCAGCAGCATACGGCCAGCTAGGTCAAGAAAATACGGCCTAAGCGTGACATTAATCCTCTAATTGATTCAACACTACCTCTGAAGTGTATAAGATTCTCAATGTATCACTGAGGAGCTGTTTACTTGACTCCTATGTGCTTTTATTTTATCCTTGACATTACTATTTTTGGTCATGTTTGTCCATGATTTTTGGTTGTTTTGGTTAGCATTAACTATTCCACCACATCACTGTGCTCCAAACTGCTGTAGCTACAGCAGCACAACATATTGTTGTGTTGGATTTTACATACAAATGATAACTATCACAGATGATGGGTGATTGTCAGTTTACACTCAGATGCCACTTTATCTTGTGCACCTTACTGAAATGAATGCAGTGTAATAAAAGCTTACAATTTAGATTAGCGCTTATTTAACCCATTTAGGAAACATGTTGATTCAACTGTATGGCTATGTTCAAGAGTGTCGTTTGTGCTGCGGTTGAATTACACTGCATAACATGGAATGCTGTTTCCCTCATTGATATATGGGTGCATAAAATGTTTTTTTTTTACTCTCTGAATCTTTTCTGATATTTTTCCAGAAACTGGTTATTGTGTGCTGCAGCTTTGTGGACTGGCATGAAAGTATTGATCTTGTCTTTCATCATTACCAGGTGCTACTTCAAGGCTGCCCCCCTTGGCTTTTAATATTCCCCTGACGATCTTGACGTCAACCTGTGAGAGAAGACTGCTTTTATCTGTCTCCAGCTTGACTCATAATCCAAAGTCCCAGACCAAAGGAACAGGTAAGGGTGCCTGCTTTATAAGTTACCAAATGTGTTTTCTAGCTAAATCACAATGAAATGTTCCTGCACTAAAATTTACCCCACAGAACTTTAAAAGGATGATTGTGCTGCACAAAGATGTCCTGCACTCTGACAGTGCTCAGAATCAATATGATGTCAGTCAAATGATTTCTCATGCTTATCTCTGAATCTGAAGGAAAGCAGATGCAAGATATAACCATCTGGGGTAGCCACCGCAGGTGAGTGCATAGGATGATCACCTGACCACCTGGTCATCAGGTCAGGCAGCAAGCTGACGTAGATGTATATTCCTAGGTAGTTAGCTGAAATAGCTGCCCCAGCTGGCAGCCCAAATCCTGTATTTACTTTCCTTCTGACTCAGAGCTGCTGCAAAAATATCTTATATAATTATATTTCATAAAGGGACTGCTGCTGACTGCAGCACTTTTTGGTTTTGCAATTGTACAAGCAGCTCAACCATTCAGTGCCAGTGACAGTTCAGTCCAGGTCACGGCTGGCTGCATTTATTTTAATAGGAAGGAAAGCAGGAATACTTTAAAAGGAAAATCATACAAAAATACTGATTTATTATTTAGTAAAGGGCATTTTTTTAATCTTTCTCCATTTTTTTTATACCCTAAATATTCCATTGTGAACTTTTTATTGTGGTAAAATCGTATTGTGTGTTTTTGGTATCATTACATCCCTAGTACTAAGATGTTCTGTATAACCTATTGTATCTAAGTCTTGTGTATTTATGACCATGTAAAGTTAATATAATGGAAATAGGCGTTTTCATTTTGTCACATTCAGTCACATTCCCTTAATCTCACAAATACGAGATGGACCTGAAGCTTATACACTAACTTTCACTTTTAGATAATTTTATCCTCCTGATTTTTACCTATAACACAGCTACACCCCTAAACTACTGGAACAGCACAGCCTACATGTCCCAGAGTGTGAAGTGATCCTGTAAGCCTAAATCAACAGGACAAGAAGAACATGAATGTAAAATAGTTCTGGCCAGATTTCTGCTTTTAACACAGCAGCATCAGAATGATAGTTGACAATATGATGAGGAGGAAATAAAGCATTATTGTGCCCCAGGACTGCTGTGGCAGCTGGTGACATCACTGTAAACGATGAAATCATCTGATAGTAACAAGGTGTGTATGATGATGTGACTGACTTAGACTCTGGGAGCCTAAAAAGGTTTGTGGTAAATTGCGCCATTCGGGGGAGACAGGTCAGGGCTGAATATTACAGCAAGAATTCAGATGTTTTTTTTTTTTTTATATCAGTTCAGGGTGCATGAGCTGTGCATATCTGAACAATGCATTCATATTCAGCTGCATCCCTACTAAACATTTGAGATGTGATGAATACCTGTCAGAATGAGGAAAAAAGAAACATTTACAACAAGAGGCAGAGAGAGACGGAAAGAATGCCTGTTACAGCACCTCCACAGATGAAATGGCTGTGTGGGTGGATGTACATGTGAGTGCAGGCTGCTAGGAGCTGTGAGTGGGAAGTGAGTATTGAGTGGGAAGAGAAGAGCTGCTTTAGTGAGACAATCAGCACCAAGGCCCGCTGAAAGGCAGTCACGCTTTCATGGCTTCTCTTTGTTTTCTGTACTTCTGTAAAGACAGAGTCCAGGTAGTGAGGCTGGTGATGGATGGTGGATGAGTTTTTATGTATGCCGTCCACTGTCTGTTTATGTGTGTGTGTGTGTGTGTATGTGTGTGTGTGTGTGTGTATGTGTGTGTGTGTGTGTGTATGTGTGTGTGTGTGTGTGTATGTGTGTGTGTGTGTGTGTATATATGAAGGTCAGCAGCCACTTTTAACTCCTATTTTTTCATGTGAAATCATGAAAATCATGATGTATCTAGTTAGAGGTCTGAATAGGAACAGGAGAATAGAGTGACCAGACAAAACATGAATAAATGATAATTTACATACTTTTATATGTGAATAACAAGAAAGAATTTAATAATATTTGCTCATTGTGATCAAAGGAGGTGCAACAATTGCACAAAACCATATTCAGTGAAACCCCAGAAACCTGTATGTGGTGGATGTAGGTGTAGATTGATTGTGCAAAAGAACAACAGCAAGAAGGAAGAATGAGGCAAACTTTCCAAATGAGTGTTCTTGAATATGTGTTTGTCAGGATGTACTTGTCTGGCTGACAAATCAGAAGAGGTAAATGAGAAAGTTCAGCTTTAGCTTTGATTATCAGTGCTGTGACTGACTAGGCTTTTTACTGTCGTAATAGGAGGCCTAATAGTGATCTCAAAGTATTAAACATATTTTGAAAAGTTATAGATAATAATAGACAGGAATTTGACATTTAGTCTTTTGAAAAACTTAAATTAAAGTTGACAAAAAAAAAATTAACAACAAATTGGACCTTAAAGGGGAAGCCTGGGTTTAGACACACAGAGATAACTAGTGGAGCCAATTAGAACATCTGAGCCATGAATGAAGGTGTTGACATTAATGTGTACAGGTACACTGTAGATGGACAGATGTGCACGTGATTATATATTGTATTTAAATATGTATACTCACACAGACTTTGATGCATTTAGATGTATGTACACTATACATATACACAACTCAGCTGCCTTTACTGATGCAACTTTTTGGGCTTTACTGACTTCAGAACATTTTTATTTATTTATTTTAACATTCCTTCTTCTCTGTTATTACTTCATCCTTTGTATTGTTATTATTATGACTACTACTGCATTCCCCCGCTGTTACAATTATCAGTATTTTAGATGATTATAGTTCTTAAAGGATGATTAATTAGGGCTTATGAACTCATTTTGCATATTGTCAATGAGAAAGGAATAATATGAGTTACCTGTTCAGGTTGTAAAACAGGTAAAATGATTATGGGAAATATTTGGTAAAGTTCAAGCAACTTTTACCACATGTGAGGGAAAGGATCAGGGTCTTGGACAGAAGAAGCAAGCAACGACTTTAGGGACGAGCCTGTCTGATGTCAACATTATAAGTCATTACTCGTCTTGAGACCAGGAAGCGACTGGTGTCTGATGTCTGTGTTGTTCATCAGTGCTTGCCCAGAGGTTTTTAATATAACTATGCCATAATTTATGGATTGATTTCTGCTAAAGTGGTATTTTTTTATGTGGCTCAACATATTTAGCATACAAGCCAAAAGAATTATAGCTGGACGTGGAGTATTTTTCAGCTGAAATGCCTTTAAATCAGCATTTACAACCTTCATTACAATTCTCCACTGAAGGCTGCTCTGATAAGGTCTTTTTAACTGTATCTTTAAGCAGTCATGAGATGGGAATCTCCAGATTTTATGAAAGGGCAGCAGTGAAAAATAGAAAAAAACTACCCTGACATGACTTTACTATTTCAACCTAATATAATACAGCTCCTATTACTGTGACAATTTATTGACTGAGAATGAATTTATCAATTTCATACAGAACCAGAATGACCTTTCTATGCCTGTTAGGATAAAATTACCTGACCACTGGACTCTATGGCCTAGTCTCACACTAGTACCAGCAAAACTCCCCCTGGACTAACACATGCAGCCTTACATGAAAATTGCCTGAAACTGTTAGTGGTGAGAAATGTGTTTAGTTCCTGTTGAGAGTTTGATGAGATCAATGCCACTCTTTTGTTTATTCTGTACAGATGTAGCTGGAGCCAGCAGCCAGTTAGCTTTAGCTTTGGATAAACACTGGAAGCAGTGGGAGAGTCTATCATCACCTCTAAAACTTGCTAATTAACAAGTCATATCTCATTTGTTTAATCTAATCCAATACAGAAGCAACAATATGAATTAAATGTTTTATGTGGGGTCATGTACCAGACTTTTTTTTTTTTTTGAGTCATTCTTATACCTAAGTTTGTAAATGTTTCCAGCCTTTATGCTAAGCTAAACTAGCTAACTGTTGGCTCCAGTTACACACTGTACTTACCATAGCTACATGAGTGTGGTACACATCTTCTTCTCATTTAACTCTTGACAGAATGCAAATAAGCTTGTTTGCCAAATTGTCAAACTGTTTCTTTAAATATTCATATGTATGTCTTAACTTTCCAATACTGGCTACAAATATGAACACATCTTTGTCTTTTTGATGAGGTAATGAAAATATTGCCTTCCCTAGCTCCTTACCCTAACCTTAATCATCACAACTAAATGCTTAACCCCAACCTTCACCCTAACCTAAGCCTAATTCTACCCTTGACACTAAAACCAAGTGTTAACCCTCAAGAAGCCATTTGAAATAGACGACCTTCCAAACATCCTCACAACACTGGTATTGAACAGAAATTTGTCTACACAGCCACAGGATAACATCCACACACACGCATGCACACATTCAGAGGAAGCTGATGTTGTGTCCCAAAGCTCCCCTCCTGCTCTCTGGCTCCTGCAGTGAGACGGCCCTGAGAGGAGAGCCCTGCAATGCAGCAGCTTCTGTGTGAATCATGCACGCACACACACACACACACACACACACACTGTGAGATGATGGCGTGTGAAAGTGCTCAGATCGTAGGAGGAGATGAGGAGAGAGAGAGAGCAGAGTGAAGGTAAAGATGAAACCTGATGAGAGGAGGAGGAAGAGGAGGAGGAGGAGGAGGAGTGAGTAGGAGGAGGAACACTGATGTAGGAAGAGGAAGGTGAAGAGGGAAGAAAAAATAATAGGTGGGAGGAAGATTTCTAGGTGAAAAGATGTTCAGGCAAAAGAAGGAGCAGCTAACAGCCATGGTAATGACAAATGAACTATTTAATTAGCTTGGTGATTAGCTTGTCTCAGCAGACTTCATCTGGGTGATTCAGTCTTGGTTCATCTGTTTAAGATGAACATACATTGTGACACGTGCATAAACTGTCAAGGTCAAAATGGCATGACACTAATGAAAAAATCTTCACAACTCGCAAGTTAATCTTCATATAACTTTTCCTTGCAGCACGGTGTGGTCGTTAGATTTTGCTTTGCTAATTGCTATTTTTACATGAGAAGGTCTTTTGTAGGAACAGCCTCTAATTAGTCTCCAATCTGCTGATATCTGCAAGTTCTTGCTTGATAGTTTGTTGAGCTTAGATGTTTCATGTCAGTCTATGAAAACTACTAAACAATACAAAACAGCACTCAACAGTAATGCTACAACACAATTAACAGAAGATAGTGTCTAGTCAGTGAGCTGTAACATGCACGTCTAGCACCTCTCTGACTCCATATTTTAAGAACAATACGCCTATTACTGACACTATTGGAGGTGGAAGGAATTACATTATTTATTTATTTCTATTTCCACCTTACCAGGTGCTTGTCTTTGTTAGCGGCCTGGCAGTTGCAATAATAATGAAGAATCTCTTCTTTATGTGTGATGCATTTAAGTACCAAAACAACATTCAAAATTTTATAGTCTCACTCTTAATGGACTATATGTTTTAGCCAGACAGTCCCAATGCTGTTCTGAGGCTATGATATTTAGAACAAGAGTTTGTGTTTAAGTGTGTGTGTGTACATTTAATGTATGTAAGTGGTCTATTTGTCTTTCTTTCTCTACAAAACCTGTTTAATCAACCACAGTTTTCAGCCAGAGATGCTGCACTTGATGCACTAAATGGGAACCGTAGCATCAAGCATCATTCTGGCAAAGTGCCACAGGCTTTTTGCCAACCTCAAACCTGCTGCCTACTTAGGTCTACTCTTATCACCATCTCATAAAGTCTCACTAGACAAAATGTCTGGAGAACAGTTTCTTACCTGTTGTGCAGGTAATATGCAGGGACATTTATCTCCTTGCTGCTGACTTGTCATCGTATTTGGAGTTTTCACATCAGAGCAATTTACAGCACTCTTTCAGTATGACAAGCACAACATCTTAATAAGTAAGGGTGAGACACTGTTCTGCATTGCATCCCCAGTTTGAGTTTTATGCTAATGTGAAAGGTGTAGCTTCACATGATAGTATTTTCTAAAGCCTCTCTAATTTCAGGACACAGCATGCTGAATTGTGAATGCTTTGTAGTAGTCCCAGTTTTGTTCTTTGAGGCATTGACCCAGCAGGGGGTGCTGTTTCATTAACACATAGCATACTCTTGCTCACAAATATGCACATATCAGCACCTCAGCAGGCCTCTGGGAACCCAGACCAGACTTCCTTCAAGGTTCAAGGTTCAAGGATTTTATTGTCAATTCACCATATGTGCAGGACATACAGAAAACTCCTTCCCACCTATCACACCCCCACTGACAGCCTGAGCCTGGCCAACAGACAGGATGATCTCGTTGGATATGGATATCAGCCACAGAGCTCAAAGTGACGTTCATCATCAGACAGAACCCAGTATATTTATATGTGTTTGTGTGTGTGTGTGTGTAGGGACACGGTGGGTGAACAAGTAACAGACAAGCATTTCCAGGGAGGGGATCATCTAAAATGTATTGCTGTGGCTTTCGGACAGAGACAGGTTGAGCATGTTTTGAGGACACTGTGCAGTGTTGTGCACTGTCGAGTGTCTGCGGAGGCTTCATTCACGCTGATGTTCCCTTCAAAGCTGAGTAAATTAAAGCTCCATTGACTCCTGACTTAGATCCATTTAGGCTGCAAGAGCTTACAGCCACCGCATTTTGTCTGCAGCTCTATTCTATTCCTTCTGTTTAAGGCTGCTCTGTTCCTCTGTGCTCTGACCGTGTGACTTTCTAATTTCACTGTTTTCAACTTTTTTTTTAGCTGATTAATCTATATAATGTATTTTATATTTTTATCAAAATCTTTGTCATAATTTAAATTTCAAATTGGATTCTAATACCAAATAAAGACCTCGTTTCTTCTTTGAAAACAGAAAACTGTCTCCAAAGCCGACTCTCACACTACTGTCCTCTGGACACTGTCTACCACAGTGCCCTTTAATTCATTACTGCAGGGAGTTATTGCACTCGACACTTTCTGTGATACGTAAAAGTCGGCTGATCATCACTGACATCTTCAGAAGACATCAGCATAGCTGTGCTTTCATCTACAAAGGTCATGCTGTCAAAATATTTGTGAATGGGTAAACGGCCGAATAGTGTGAAAATGCTTTGAGTGTGCTGTAACGCATAGAAAAGCGCTATACAAGTATAAAAGCATTTAATGTCTTCTCGGGCTTCTCTTGCTAAAGAGATCTAAATCATGACTGAATAAATAAAGAACTGCAGCTAGTGCTCTCTGGACTGCAGGGTTAAATTCAGAAAATGGAACAACATAGCTACTGTAGATAACATAAAGACAAATATAATAATATACTTATCCAACTAACTCAGTTACACAGAAAGGCTGCACCATGGACTTAATGTATGCAAGCTTGTGTATTGATCTTAGGTCTCATCAGACCCATTCATCTCCTTCCCCCACCTTCTGCCCAGTACTGTCTAAGAGATCACTGTATTGCTGCACATGCCTCAGGCGATTATGTGGGCTAATCAATATGTTGCCCCTTTGCTTCTGCTTGATCTCCTCTCCAACCTGTTCTGATGAATCATCTGCACTCAGCATAGGATTTCATATGCATGTAAGTCCTACAGTGGTATGTGTGGTGCTGGTCAACACTGGCAGTACCTGTAATACAGATTGCAGGTGTTTGAAGTGTTTTACCACTGGATTAACAGATCAAATTTGACTGTAGACTGAAATTCACACTATTTGTCTAACGTTGGACTGGATCTTGTCAAACTGCACCGAGCCCACCTTACAGCTCCACAGCCTTGAGTCACACCAATCCAAGGTCTGCTCCGTTCATTTACATACTGCTCTGATTATTACTTGGGCCACCGGCTATACGAGTCATTACACATACACAAATCAATAGGGTTTCATCCAGTGGTTGTCACCTGCCTGCCCACATCCAAGGACATTATTTCACACAGCCACCTACACACAAACTTACACGAGCAGTTTTCAGATCGTGCTGTTGACAGTGAAGCTCAGTGGGGTTGCAGCAGGGAATGATTTGTGAATGTGACTGGTGCAGCATGTCCAAGGGCCTTTTCAGACCTGCACAGTCTTCATTCTCCTTGGAGTTAAAAACACTGACATGCTGGATTTTGACCATTCTTCACCTTCTTGCTTCCTTTCTCCATCCCTTCTAGTCTTTCAGCTAGAAATAAAGACCTCCTCCCTTGCCTACCCTCCCCTGCTGCTAGCTAGCACCAGCATGGCAGACAGTCGAGAGCCAGAGGATGGTGCCCCTCAGTGGGACCCATCAGGGGGACAGGAGCCCACTGGCACCCACGGCGCCAATGGTTACTCTTCCTCAGCCTACAGGAGCTGCCAGCCTGGTGCGGCCCACATGGCCACTGCCTCCTACTCTGCCAGAGAGAATGGCTTCAATGGGGAGCTAACTGGAGCTCACGCTATAACTGCAGGTAAGATGGCTTCACAGCTTTAAAATATTCCTCTTTTACCTGTCATTAGAGGTTCACCTGACATCTGTTTGCTTTCATGAATTGCACCAATATCAGGAAGCGATGGGGTCAGTGGGTGCATTGCATTGTAGTCACTAAATAATAGGTGCTTATTTGCACTGGTATACTAAAGGAAGGTTGTCTTAGGGAAAACATGCAAATATTAAAGACAGCTGGCATAGTCCAAACCATGGGTAATGGAGATCATAATGATTTTTGCTATTAGCGTCAAAGGTTATAAACATAGATGCAAAGTGAGGTCTGTGGCAATATGTGAGAATGTGATTCAGAAGCAGTACGTCAGAAGGACTGCTGAGATGTGTGGCAGGAGCCCTCTTTTTGACAAACTTGGGCCAAGCACCAGCAGAGCAGGTCACGGTTTAGTCAGCTGAAGCCCATCTGGTCAGTTCATTTGTTATTCATTTCATGTCCTGAGGTGCAGGCACAATGACACAGAAGAGGTGGAGCACAGATGTTTCTGCATTCTGAGGACATTTTGACTGATCCTGTCAACTTCAAAGGGCTATTTGAGGTTTAAAAGAAATTGTTTTAGGGTTCGGGGTAGAATTTGGTTTAGGTTAGGGTTAGGTATTTATATGTGACAGCTAATGTTAGGGTAAAGGGTAAAAGAATACAAAATGGTACCGGAAAACCTGAATTGAATCCAAAGTTAGCTGGATAAGCAACTAATCTCGCTTCATGGTACAGGCCCCAGGTCTGTTTACGTGTGTTTGATGTATGCGTATGTGTGTTTTGGTGTACAGTATACTGTATGTATTTGTACCTGGTCTGTTTTTGTGCTTGGGTTTGCAGCACTCTTGACTCCTCCCTAGAATATCATGCTGTTATTAACGGTGCTATAATGAAGACATAAAATCTATCTCTGTGCCCTCAGCCCCCCACCACACCTTCACACCCTGGAGACAAGAATGATAATGTACTAATGGTGTAGCCATGGCAACTGCTTCCCTACAATTTACTTTGCCAGGGCTTTTGTTCTTTCCACAAGTAGCTTGCCACAGACATTCAGCATGTAAAGACAAGCACCCAATTAACCTCCCATCTCCCCGTTATTAGGGCTTAACTGATACTACTTTTGAAGGCTGATAACGGTGTCTTCAAGTGTAGCTGCCCATTGCCATATGACCATTTTATGACCTCATTGTCTTTAGTTATTTAATATCATTCAGTTTTAAAATTTCAAGTCAAATTTTGGAATAAGGAACCAAAGGTGCAAATGACTGTAAGACAGTTATCACTGATTTCAGGAACATCTCACTTGTTTCAAGGTTTTTCATGCAAGTGTTTATAAATTGAGGTGAAAGAGTCAAATCTCTGCATTATAATCCTATAATAACACTTGATTCTCATTCAAATCAGACTGACTTGCATTAGAAACTATGAAATGGACAGCTACTGTCTAGAGTTAAAAGATATGGAAAATGAGCTGCATCATTTAGACCACTCTCTTTTTAAGTCAGTTCCTCTTGTCGCATTACTTGACATGCACTGCGCTCTAATACAAATGAAGCTACTTTAGCCAGTGGATCAACATAATTAGCCACTGCCAAGGCCTCGTGTGTTCCTCTAGCTTGTTATTAACACCTATCAAAGACTTGAGAGCTATAAAGAGCCTCTTTACAACTTTAAAGTCAAAGCATGATATGGACAAGAACATGCTACTTTTTGCTCTGAGAGTTCAGAGCCATAGATGTACAGTAAGTTTCAGCCCAGCATCTAAAAATGTGCTTTCATTCTCATGTCATGGTCTAAATGAATCCATTCAAAATTAAAATTGCCTCACATAGTAATATTAATGATTGGGTGTATCAGTACGTTTTTCTAATCATCTGCCTACAAATGCCACATTGTCTCAGTAGCTGCTGTGTAAGCAAAGCTGTCTGACTGCAGAGCATCCTGTCAGCGCACATTAGCATAACTCCAAGGCAGGGCAGGGTGTGGGTAAGTGGGGCAGGATGGGTGACAGAAGGGCTGATGCTGGCACTCAGTAAACCTTCTCTCCTTGTGAAAAGCCCTTCAGACAAGAAGAAGAACTATTGATGCACAAAAACTGCCCTCTTGACTTTCCTTTGAAATTATGTTGTTAAAGCCAGCCGGCCATGCTGGAAGTGGTCAAGACAAAGAGACAGAGAGGGAGGGAGGAAGAAACAAAGTGAGCTAATAGAAACAGAAAAAAAGATTTAAGGAATTGTTGAGCTTTTCCTGGGGAGTGGCTGGCTTGCATAAATCGAGGAAGCCCTTGTGTTCTATTGGGGATATTGCACTGACTGATGTCTACATCATTAAGCTGCGTAGTGCCGAGAAGCCTGGACAGGATTTTCTGTTGTTAGTCCGTCCACATCATCAGCTTAAATCAGTATGTTTGGTTGCAGCAGACAGAAGATTTCCTAAAAAAATCCTGTGATGTTGAAGTATGGACACAGACAAAAAGGAGCCAGTCCAAAGTCTGAATATGTTTGAGACATACTCACTGAAACGAATGCCTCTGACTGAAAGAAAAATATTGAGTTTACTAGAAAACATCTTGGCTCTTAAGCACAAAATGCAAATGTGTGTATTTTTGACAGAACAGTGAATATTTTGTGTTAAGGGACATAAAAGCATATTTTGTGCATTAAGTGAGGACTCGTTAGCATTCTACTTTTATGACAATAGGACTTTCCGTGGACAGTGTCTGAGGAATAAAATTGATGGAGCAGAATGAGACATTCTGTTCCTGGTAAAGACGCATGTTACAGATCAAAGTGCAACTCGACCACCAACGGTTCCATTGGACATTTGGCTAAGTAGTCGGCTAATGTCGCCACAAGCCTCAAGTCTTTTCAAACTGGGGGTCTTCCTACCCAGATGGTGCTGACTCACTCAAGGCTTTTTTTGTTTATCAGAATTTGCGCAGCTTCCTCTGGAGCCACAAAAGACTTTATACGCACATCCTTTTTCACATATGCAGTAGTACTCCCTAAAACCAAGGAAACCAAGTTTTTAAATGTTCCCTTTGTAAGAGCAGTATCAGCAACTCCCGTAAATAATGATAATTTCCTTCATATTCAAAATCTCATAGAACATTTTTCACCAGTTGTTTTTATTTTATATTATTTACAGTGCTCAACATTTAGAAATAACAACTTTGTCTCAGAGGTCTATGCAACATACAGCACCGTCTATTCTTTGACCCTTGATTTGGATAAGGAAACACTTTACAAAAAACAGTAACAGACAAGGAAGCGCTTTTCGCAAAGGGATGGACATGTAATAAATGTTGTATAAACAGAGAAGACATTATGATATTTATATGAAATAGCCTAGCCTTGGCAAACACAATGCAGATACATGGCCCGGTCATGCTACAAAGTGTTTGCTCTTTGCTTTAGTGAGCACTAGATCAGAGGGTTGTAATTTTCTACTGTTACTATTTCTACTAATTACTAAACAGGCTGCAGCATTGAAATGAAACTGCCTATGAAACCCATGGCCATATCGATTTAGCCTAAGCAGATACGGTGCAGGCGTACAGTACAGTAAGGCTGAGTCAAGCCACAGAGCGCTCACCCTTTGAGGACAGACGTTAAAAGCAATTTAAAAGTATGCTAGGTCAGATTAAAGTAGCTTGAGGCTGAGAATGGTGCTGCCTGTCATTTATGATGGCATTGGTGTGTTTTGTATTTTCCTGCTATGAATGACTGTGTTTATGCTGAAATGGGAGGAGGCGCAGTTGAGGCCATGTGTATGTCAGCTAGGCAGTGTAGTGCAATGCTGGTGCTCATTTTGACCCGAAACACTAATAACGATAACGCCTGTTCAGACCACCTCTTGTCACAATCACAGGTGCATTTGCAAATTTCCTGACAAGTGCAATGGCTAGGAAGCACAAGATCAGGTACCCTGATGTACTTTAATGGCCGATACAATTTAAAATGAACCTTTAAATCCATGTGAGGACACACCAGGATTGCAGCCAGCGGTGATCCGCAGTTGGTGTTTGGGAATCCAAATCCTCTTAAAAAAAGAACTGCACATAATAGCATATGACAGCAGCTCATGAGCCAAGATACATAACAAACACCCTGCAGACATCCCGATTAATCCTGTTACGCAGGTAAAGTCAGCCCAACCTCACTGTTCAACGCTGTCACTGTTAAGTTAGAGTTTCGTCAAACAAACAGATTTCATACAGATATATCTTTGTTAATACCACAGGGATATAAGATGAGTCTGTTTTTGCATGTTATGGTGGTTTGATCAGCTCCAAAAGCAGCTGTAGATAAGATAAAGTGGGCGACACACCCACTGGCTGTGATCTCTGGACCAGAATCAGTTTCAATATAAACACTGTGATTACAATATGATACTATTGTATTATTTTAAAAACAATGAAATGTTTAGGTCACATGCGAGACCCCTTGGATTTCACACATTGGATGCAGCTGTGAGTTAATTACACTATATAACTGCTGCTGGATACAGGAACAAAGACCTTCTTCCATGCACACATGCTGGTCAGTGATATTAGGAGACTGCTGAGTGGATATTTATGTTCAGTAGTGTTCTACATAATTACATAGTTTTGTCACTGTCAGTTTAGGAATGGAGTACATCGCTTGTAGGAGAAGACGACACATCAGTCAGTCAGGTTTCCATCTTGCGAGAGGATGCTGGTTTGATTGGACAGAGCTAAAGCCAGCCTGCTCACAATGTATTCCTCTCTGCAATAATGTAATAATGTATCTCTACTGCTGGAGAGTTCATTCATTTGGGCATTGCAAAGAAAGACATCAGATCCATACGACTTCAGTGGGATTATGTGCATGACCACTGTGATCAAATAGAGTAAACATGCATTGAACAATAAAGATTTTGTCATGTCCATGATGTGGATATTATAATTATGAGATAATTCATATTAACAAGAAAATATTAAAGGAAAAAAGTCATGTTTATGGAATACAATGTTTTCATTTGTCTTTTTTGACATTCAGAAATGACAATTTGACCCATTGTTTTAAAACTGATAAACAGAATAACTGGTTTTCTGTATTTTTCACTACTAGAAAAAAAGCAAAAGCAAACAATTTAATGAATCATTTTTATTTCAGTGTTAGATTCACTCTGATCTACTTCATATATCAGAAAAATGTCCAGCTACAACACACAGGCTGAAACCTCCATGATACTGTAAGTTGCTGGCTTCTGAATTGTGTATTGACCCGAGTTAGTGGGTCGCCAGTCTGTTTCTATGGCAACCACTTACGTTACACATTTTGGGTAGCGACTGGTATCATACCAAATGGCACTCCTGCTCTCTCCATGCCCTCTCAGTCCTGCTGTGCGTGTGTTTGTGAATGTGTGAGGCAGCCTGGCTGTGTGTTGCGTTGTCTCGGGGCTTCAAGTCGTGCACTCGGCTCAGAGAAGGCGCATTCTCAGCTTCACCCTGCCTGTCATACAGGTAATACACACTTTTACTTGACTGGGAGAGAATTTCTGGGAGTTTGTATGATGGCTGTGTATGATTGTTAATGTAGATTTATTGATGTGATGCAACCGCTCTGTGTACCAAGTCAGCTGTTTGTGCATGTGGGATATTTTGCCGCCAAAGCCAATGAAAGCCAAACGGCTGAGTCATTTGACATCACTATGTCAGAGAAATGCTGAGACAATCAGACCAGGCTCGTTTTCATCACTGCCACTAGCGTTATGAATGTGACAAGGTTAGTTTTTTACAGTGTTATTGCTTTGTGAATGTGCATGTCTGTCGATTTGTTTGGAAGAGTAAACAATCCATGACATCTTATTGAACCCGGTGCCCTTGTTGGTGCTTTTTGAATGATACTTGAAGCATGTCTGGAAGAAACTGCTTTTTTATCCTCCAAAGCCATATGCTTCAGCTCCCTCTTTAGAATAAAACTAGTGCTCAGTTAGCTTTTCTCTTCTTTTTTATTTATCTGCACTTACTAAAGAGGATGAAATCTCAGGAAAGGCAGCAGGGATCCCTCTTCCAGGACAGACAGACGTAAACATATATGAGGAACATGATCATGGAGGAAAAGCCCAATTTCCCAGTGCAGCTGATCTGGGCCACATGACCTCCCCTCCAGACAAGGACCTGGCTGGAGGACAGACCCAAGCATATTATTCACACATACTGTATAGGGGAAGGAAACAAGCACATATTAGAGTGAGAGAAAATGCAGAGGGATTGAACAAATGGACAGGAAATGAACAAAATGAGGAAGAGATAGACAAACAAGAGGCCTGGACTCCTGAAGGACTGGGATCCAGATCTAAACAAGCCATGAATAAATGGTAGACCTTTACTGCACTTTGCTGTTGAAAATGGGAAATGGCTGATTTGAGTTGGTGAGTGGGTGGTGTTAAGTGTTCCCGGAAGAAGCATGTGTATGCGTGTAATTGCATGTGTGTATACCTGCCAGCGTGTTTGTGTCAATGTGTGGGTGATGCTGGATAGAAAAAGGTCCTGAAACAGCGGTAGAAAAAAGCACCACACTGCCACACAATCCTACATAACCACTGTTACTATGCAAATGAAAGCAGGTTTGATTAGAGCTGTGCAGTGCCCCCTGCATGCCACACAGTATTTGAACTGATTCTTCCATACGCAGAGGTAGGCGGGTATAAAACAACAAAATTGATTTTAAAAAATCCATGTATATTAAAACCTCCACATACTCCTGTCATACATTGGCTTCTTCCTTTGAGACTCAGCCATTGTTTGCTCTTGCTGTTTGCCTTTTCCTACAGTAATGTCCTTATGTAGCCCCTGCTGCCCACCAGGTTCAGCCAGACAGTATTCACAACCTCTTTGGTAGCATTGTCACCAGCACTGTCATGAAGAGTGTAAATATAATGTTAATAAGACCAAATTCTGTAAGGTATGTTATGAATGTCTGCAAGCTCAAATTGCATTTCAGTTTCATCTCCAAAGGGGGTAAGCTGTACACTCTAGTCTGGTCCATGTTTAATTTTCAGTCTGCACTTTTTTGAGGATGCTGGGTTTCCATGGTGACACTCAGAGCCTTCACCAGCAGCCCTAGCATCCCCACAGTTATGGAAACAATTTCAGCAGTGTCAGAGTGATGTGGGGGGGAGAGGTTTTTGCTTATTTGTTTTTTGAGAAATGTAGCGGGGTTTAACATGAATGTATCCCCTGAAAGTTGACTGAGCACATTTCTGCCTTTCAGCAGCTCCTGCTTCACATTCTCACCCAGTTTTACAGATCGAATCCTGGAAACTACCCAGTATAACCATAATGTCCAGATGTACTGAAGCAGCTGGAGAGTCAGGGCTTCTTTTCTCAGCCAGTCTCACAATTTAAAGCAAATTAATTTTCAAACATTTCATCTAAATGCTTTTTTCTTTATAATAATCTTAAAGTTGGTTGACATTGTGTGTGTGTGTCTTTGTGCTCAGAGCAAGTGTCAGCACGGATTGTGCAGGAAGTGACAGCAGAAGCAGTGGCGGTACTGAAGGGAGAACAGGAGTCTCAAAGGCTGCCATCAGGTAAGCCACACGCACACTCGATAGGACAAGTGTTATGACAGAAACAACTCTTTCTTCCATCTAGTGGTCAGAGGGGCCTGGGGTCGACCAGCTTGGCATCAGGCGGGATGCATTCTAGAGTGGTCACCAGTCTTTCAAACAGCTATGGGCAAGTCATCTAAACTGCAGGTCTTCTGACTGTGGAAGGAAACTAGAGCAGCCATTCATTCTGCTATTTAATTATTACACCTTTAATACTTATTCAAGAAGCTAGACAAACTGGGATGGGACAAAATAGGCATCACACACAAGAGTCTTGTCTGTCATGAGAAAGTTTTTTCATGCGGTGACACCATATTTACAAAGTAAGCAGTCATCCACAGTAATCGCAGCACACCAGGGTCAGCAGAGCAGGGACTGGGGACAGATGATGATGATAATCTCCACATGAGCCTGCAACGGTGGCTGCAGAGAGTGTTACAGTTGTAACAGGTTTTTGCTGTAGTTGGTCATATGACCAAGAGGGCTTTGCTTTTTTGGGAACATTGCAATAAGTGACAATAACAAAAGATGATGGATGAAAATACTTGACTTACAAATAAAACCAAATAGCAAAATTAAAAGGGAACTCCAGAGATTTTACACATCAAAGTCTGAGTACTACTACATAAGTGAAAAATTTAAATTATATAAAGGTCTGTTTGTTTTTTGGGGGGGCTCAAGAGGGAGCTGTGCAAAATCTGATCAACTGCCTCAGGTGATACTTGAAGCTAGCGGCTAAAGGCTACATTATTCCTCCCGCCTTTCTTCTGTCTCCCTTTGCAGTTGAAGACACCACCAATTTGCCTCCGTCTCCTCCACCCTCTCCTGCTGCAGAACACTTTGCTCCTCTGGAACAAGGTAAGGCCAAGAATATGAGTTGTATTTGTGAGAGTATTTCTCTAATGGAGGAGTGTGTACTTTCCTTTTTTCCTTGGTTGTTCTCCAGTCTTCTGGAGGTTTGTGATTTCCAACACACTGGGGTACGGATGTGGGTCACTTCTGGGGATATTCTTAAATCTCAGCCCCCCCCCAAAACCACACATTAAAACCCATTCAACAGACCTGTACATACCACAGTTAAAAACAGGACCATGGTCTTTATTTTTCAGATATCACTTCCTTCTGAAATCCTGCTTCCTCTTCCTCATTGTATACCTGGAACAGATACAGCTTTTTTTTTTCTTCATTGTCATTCACCATTTATCTCTAAAAGAAAGAAGGGTTCACGTGCATGATCGCCTTGTTGTACTAAAAAGTGTTTTTTATTGTCTTCTTTTCCCATTTCCCTTTCTAATCTCCATACCTTGCTGTATTCATACACACTAATATGACAGCCAAGTTAGGCAACCATTCAATTTCTTGTTGTTTGTCTTTTCACTCGAATTATCCTAAGTATTGCAAGCCTAATCACAGTTTTGCATTTTCTTGTCACTGTCCACTGTCTTTTTGTATGTCCTTGGCTGTGTCTACAGATCAGAGTTTTGTTTCATTTAAGCAGGTAAATTCCATTGATGGTCACAGCTACTTTTTCAGGGGAGACCTGAAACCATACTCGCAAGCATGTTAGCTAGCCTTGTGACATTACAAGATTATGAATGCCATCTCAGAAATGGCTGAAACTACATACTTTATATTTAAAATCTACAGCAGAATTTGTTTTCTGCCTTTGAATTTTGCCTTTTAGCACCGTTTGTTTCTTTGACATCGACATTATAGTGTACAGAATGCAATGGTTTTTGTGCAGCTGCCTGCAAGAAATGGTTTCTCATTGCTTGGCCTTTGTTTGTATGTCTGCCCAGTCTGCAGTAGCTGGAATGTAAAGAGGAGAGTCTGTAGGTGGGCCAGCCATGCACCCAACAGAGATGGCCACTTTTGTTAACACTGTGTCACCTGTACAATATGTGAAGTAAGACTGTTTTTAGATCATAGAGGTTAAGTCCTCGTGTGATCCATTTTGTAGAGTGGTAAAGAGCTTTAGATATTTGTGTGTTTTTGTATCTGTGTACATGCATGATACAGAACAGCTAGGCACTGATAGACTTGATCATCTCAGTACCTTTAGAGGTGGTGCTGTTCTAAATCTGACCCTTTGAGCTATACAGGCTTTTCCATGTGTTTGAAAATGATTATTTGAAGGTGTCTGACTGGACAGCTGTTTGACTGGATCCAGAGGTTTGTTTGCAATGGCAAAACACACAGGTTACTTTATTTTGTTGCTGCTGATGTGGTATTTCTTATCTGTTATCAAGGTTTAGTCATTCATATGTGAAGCAGTTTGTATTGATATTTCTCTCCAGTCATTTTGCTGGTCTCACAGTAAGGCTGGCCCTAGAGCTTGGTCACTTTTCAGTTGCTTGTCACTGTCTTCCTTGTCAATGTCCTGTGTGTGTTACTGTATGTTTCTCTTGCTCCCAGTCAAGCTTCAGTCTTCTTCTTGCATTCCCCTCTCTGGTGACTCTCTGTTTTTGTCACCTGTTTTAAATTTGTAATTTTTGTTATTTTCTCTTCTCAAGCTTTATCTACCTTTTCACTGCAAAAAAAAAAAAAATGTCCACCTTAAAATGACACAGAAGGATTTCTGAAGTAAAGAATTTGGTCATCTTGTATAATCTCCTAAAAATTGAAGGACGACAGCTGGATCCACCTGAACTACGGATTAAGTTCTGTATGACCTCCCATTCACTGCAGCATTTTCTTACAGCTACAAATCCCAGCTGAGGGGCTGAGCCAAAATACTGTAAAATAAATAAATATAAATTACAGTATAAATAATTGTGGTAATCTTTTTTTTTTAATTTAAGATATTATGCTTCTATGACTAAACATTTTACTTTTATTTTCCAAACAAAATCTTTGCACACAAAGCAAACGATGCTGAACAGTGTTTTTATTGTTGTTGCTGTAAATAGTTTTAAAAAATTCAAACAAGTGAAAATAAGTGTCAATTGTTGACCAAATTTGTAAAAACCCTTTTTCAGAGACAGTATTAAGTTGGATCATCTTTAAGATGGACATTCTTTGGCGTGTTCTCCATTTTTTCTTCTTCCGCTTCCTTTATCTTTTTCTTCCTCTTCACTCTCTCTTTTAGTCTGCGTGTCCAGATTTCCCTGCAGTTCTTCTCCTTGTGTCTGTCTTGTTTGTAGATGTAGGGGATGAGGAGGAGGCAGGCCCTCTCCGCCGCTTCCAAAATTCTCGGGAGAGGTGCAAGTTCCTCGCCCCCTCCATCTCAGTTTCCGTGCCCGAGGACGACCCCTACCACTCCGACGAGGAGTACTATGAGCACCCATTGTTCAGCCCAGAGTGGACGCACTCAGGCTCTCGCCCCACAGGGCAGGCTGTGGCTTTTAGACAGATTGAAGGTGAACCACGCATGGTTCCTCTTTGCCATTTCCCCCTCCATCTCCGCTCTCTTTCTTTCTCTCCTTACTCTTTTTAACACCAGTTTCCTCTTCTTCTGTGATTTGACCTCCTCCCTCCCTCCCTCCTTCCGTCCTTCCGTCTCTTCGTCAGTTCGTCTCTTCGTCCGTCGTTGTGCGTGTTTATGTGTCTTGTGATGTGTGTTTGCTCGATATCTGAGCAATTCCATATTTGTTTAACAGTCATATTTAATTTCTTTTAAATTTATTTCACCCAAAGCCATTGCTACCTGTGGTTGTCATGCCGTTACGTCCAACACGTAGTAGTTGTGATGTCTCTGAAGTAGGACAATGTTTTTGTGGTTCTTTCAGTGAAGATATTACACTACATTTCTCATCAGTAAGACCACTTGACCCACAAGGATGACTTTTTGTACATGACTTAAGGCCCAGATGGCTTTTATAAAGAGATACTGTGTGACACTGATGAGCTCTATGCACACATTTCTCTACCAGTCATCTCCCAGAGTGTTTTGGTTCTTTCCTCAAGACAACCCCTCATTGCTTTAATTATGCTGTACCATGTCAAACCCCTACACTCATCCTTACCTACTCTTACATGCACTGTGGCAACAAGGAGGACTTTCAGCTCCACACACTCACCAACACATACACCCACATACAACAGTCCAAACTAAATGCTTTTATTGTCTTTAAAATACAAGATAAAGGACATACCGTATGTTTATTTCCCCAAAATGTCGATGGAACCTAGGACCTCGGCGTATTTAAACTTATAGTGGACTACACAAACGCACGCGGCCTGCTATGTTATCTGCCACTGTCAGTCCACAAAAGAAATGTAATGAGTGTGTCCTGCATTGGGAAACTGTCTGTGCTTATATAGTGTATACAGAGATCATCCAAAATATATCTAATGGAAACAGTAGTTTCACCAAATCTTTGTCTTATGCAACAACATCAGCTGCAAAGCTGATGAATAGAATTTCTTAAAACTATGCAAGAACTCTAAACATTACACAGTTATGGCTGCTGCAAAGCTGGATGCCCGACATTGACCATTAGACGGTTAAAAATCCAGTCCGTCCTATGTCAAGAATCTAAACCCCTCTGCTTCTTTCTTGCAGACTGCAGCTCATCCTAGTTGCTGTTTATTTAAGAGCCAGAGATTTCAGAGGTGCTCCAAAAAGAAGTGCTTCTATACAATACTGCCATGTTAGGCCGTACAGTGTTCCTATTCACTCACAATATGTTTTAATTTTCCTTTAACAAACTTAGCCATCAGTGGTAATGGTCAGTCTTGGTTGCAGACATAGTGTGTGCAAGTGTATCATTTTTGCAAAACAAATTCTCGACTATTGAGTAAATACTGATAGGAAACAGTGTGGATATTATGAAAAAATAATAATAAAACAAAATCAGCTCACATGCAACACTCTGTAATGTTGTTGTGATGTACCTGTATGTGTTAACAGGTAAACACTTTAGGTCATCTCTTCCCAGAGCTGAAAGTATCCCATCATAAGTTGTGTTCTCACATAACCCAAGTCTGTGTTGCCTGTAGTCTTAATGTGTCCCCCTCTCGTCCTGTTTTGGAGAAGAAGAGACCATGGAGGCTCTTACAGCTGAATACGAGGAGGAGGTGGAAGAGGAGGAGGAGAGTGCAGAGGCAGCAGAGTCCGAGGCAGCTCTTGATGAGCAGCAGTGGAGTGGGGAAGAGCCTGAGCTGGACAGCCCCCAAGCTGAGCCCTTAGAGCAGGCAGAGGCCATAGACGAGGCCCAGGACCTAGACCTGGAGCTGGCCGAAGCAGCTAGTGCTACTGCAGAAAGCTCTAAGGACAGAGAGGAGGAGGAAGCAGAGGGCGAGGAGAGCCCTGAGAGAGGTGCGTCCTGCCCTCTGCTCTCCCTGCCTGCATGTTACTGCATTGTCCAATGTATAAGAATGGCAGATGTGCCTACAGGGCACCTAGAAGCATATAACATAAGCATTGTAATTCAGGTGGAATGGCAAGTAATCCTACCTGCGCTCTGCTGTGGCTGCAAGGCAACACAGGCTTGTTGGTGAAAAGAGTCCCATTGTTTTTTAGCTTAACCTGGTTGTACTTTGTGTTATCATTGTGCTTGCATTTTTCTTTTTCTTGCTGGGGTTTTGGGAGCTGTCCATTTCATGTTGGTATGACGAAGCATTGCTGAAGCATTGCACTGCTCTTTTCTTACCTGCTAAATGCTTACAGGTTTCTTATTATTTTTACATGTGGCTCGGTGCTGGTATGCCAGTGCTATGCAATAAACGTGGATCGATCATATTATTGCCATAATTCTGTATACCGAATTTGCAGGGGATTTTGTTTTGGCTGTCTCATGTTTAGTGTGTTATAGTTGCCAGTAGAACCATATAACATCAAATGCGTTACTTTATTAGCAAAGTTCAGAATCATTTGTGTTTTTGTTTGTTTTGTATTTGTCACTGTTAGCGGGTGACAACGTACAGCATTTCTCTGTCATTCACCAGCAAGTCTCTTTCTAATGGTAATCTATTTGGTGTTAACAAAACTGTGATAGATTTTAAGTGGACAAATTTTCAAAACAATTCATTGTACTTGCAGAGAATGACAGAAATGCTGTTTCTTTTTGTATCTGATGTTTTGAAGAGTCGCATGGATATCCATTCCATCTATTCTTGCTTGTTTCCCATAAATCAGTGTCACAGTTTTGTCATGCCGACTTCATCACATACCATGCCATTTTGTCATCTATCTGTGACTTGGTGGATCCCATCATCTTGCCGTACTTCTTCAGTGATGGCCGTATCATAGCACTGTAAGTTTCTGAGGACAGCTTTGGCTGTTTCTGTGATAACGGCTTTTCCACTTCCTGCCTTAATACATATCTCACTCGCAGCATGCCAAAGAAATACTTTTCTATGTTGATCAAAACAGTGAACTTATAGATGTCCTTTCAGCTTTGAAGATGGAGTCAGACAACCAGGCAAGTGGGTCCATGAGCCCAGACAGCATTGAATCGGAGAAGCAGCCGGAGGAGATTTTTGAACCCCAGATTCAAGGGTTCTTTGCTGGTGAGCGAGTTGTACCAGAGAGCCCCACCATGGATGTGCCGTCCTTTGTACCTCCAAATGTTCAAAACCAAGCCAAAGAGTCTGCCACATCACTCACACTTCAGCCTACATATGGTGAGCCCATCACAGTCTCAGAGAAACAGCCATCAGTGGAGGTGGTGGAGTTCAGCAGCATTGGCTCTCCTTCTGCGTTCTCGTCGATGAATGCCAAAATTCAAGAAGGAGACTCGGTGAGAGATGCTGGAGACAGATCTGGCATGTCAGCTTATTTTGAAACATCAGCCATGGAGGTTGATGAGACTCCTCACTGTAAGGGTGAGGGTTATTACGAACTTAGCAGAGCTGGTGAAGAGAAGAGTACTGTTGATTCCAGGTCACTCGGGTCACTGTCTGAAGCCCAGGATAAATCTGAACCTAAAAAAAGTACAGCTGAAGAAACTAGAGTGTTCACGGTTCCTGACAGGAGTAATGAATGCAAGCTTTCCCCAGGTAAACTGGCCTTAGAGCAGAGAAGTTACTCACTTAACATCACCATTGGAGCAATGGATCAGAGTGGCCAAGGTAAACCTAAGAATTTCTCCCCATTGGCAACAGACATCATGTCATACACTAGTGGAAGTCTAGATGATTCAGCAGACTACCTCCCAGTCACTACACCTTCCATGGATAAGCCTCCATCCTTCCCTCCCCTGATCCTGGAGACTGCCGCTTCCATCACTTCCGATTCCTCATCTCCTCCACTTGCAAAGGCCACTGAACCAGTTTCAAAACCCAGCCCTGAGCCAGAGTCGCCAGAGTCACCCCAGTCCCCTAAGAGCAGCTATAAAAATGACACAGTGATGGCGCAAGATTTGCCGGAGATGCTGGACCTTGCTAGCAGTCGTTCCAGACTGGCATCAGAAAACACTGACCCAGAAATTAACAGAAGAAAGTCAATTCAATCTGATGTTTCTGCCTTCGCTGATGACCCTATGGCCAGCCTAGTGTCAGGGGAACGGAGTCCTGGAGCCAGAAAAAGTGACAGCCAGCTGGAAGAGATGGGCTATTGTGTGTTCAGTGAATATTCTGGGCCCATGCCATCCCCTGCAGATGTGTTCAGCCCTACAGCTGCTTGTGTAAAGGGCTTCACCCCCTCTGTCCTTGAAGAGAAAGTGGCTGAGCAGGCAAGGAAATTGGCAGTCAGAGACACATCGATGGAGGACGAGAGGCAGCCATCAGGGCCTGTCGAAGTCACTGAAGAAAAAGGGCAGAACCACACAGAGAGAAAGGATTCAGCAGAGGAAAAAGACGAGGAGACTGCAGATGGTCAACTGAATAAACCTGTGAGTGAGCAGGAGAAACCACCGGTTCAACCAAATGAGTCCTTTGTGACACCAGTAGTCACTGTGACTCTAGAAGAAGGTGGGAGGTTAGTGAGTGACTCTGAACGACAAGCCAGTGGTGAAGGCTCAGCATCAGAGACAGAGATCGCTGACTATGAGAGGCAGATCCGCAAATTAGAGATGGAGGACAGACCTCTTAGTTTGGAGGAGGAAAGAGAACTGCAGGAGCTTCGAGAGAAAGTGAAGCTGGTCCACCAGGAGGCCTATGAAGAAGTGGATGCTGAAGATGTGTACCAGCTGACTGGTGTGGCCAAGGACCGAATTGCCAGGCCTGTCAAGACTTCACCTGCTTCATCTGTGGAGAGCAACATTGATGATGACAAACTTCTATCCCCAGTGCTCTCACCTTCCAAACTTAAACAAAGAGAAATTTATGGCTCCCCAAAGAGAGCGGCATCGCCAGTGTTAGGAATAAACAAAGAGGATAAAGAGAAGGCGGAGTTGGAAAGAAACATTAGAGAAGAACAAGAGAAGGAAGCAGCTGAGAAGAAAATGAAACAAGAGAAGGAAGCAGCTGAGAAGAAAATGAAACAAGAGAAGGAAGCAGCTGAGAAGAAAGAAAAGGAAATGAAAGAGAAACAAGAGAGGGAAAGGAGAGAGAAAGAAGAGGCAGAGAGGATACTGAGGGAAGAACAAGAAATGAAGGAGAAAGAACAGGAGATTAAAGAGAAACTAGAGAAAGACAAGAGGGAAAAGGAAGTGAAGGAGAGAGAGGAGAGAGAGCTGAGGGAGAAAGAAGAGAGAGAGAAGAAAGAAAGAGAAGAGAGGGAAAAGACTGAACAAGAGGAGAGAGAAAGGAAAGAAAGAGAGGAAACTGAAAGAGTAGAAAAAGAGTTAAGAGAGAAGGAAGAGAGAGAAAAGATTGAAAGGGAACTGAGAGAGAAGGAAGAGAAAGAAAAGATTGAAAGGGAACTGAGAGAGAAGGAAGCGAGAGAAAAGGTGGCTGAGGTGGTAATAAAAGAGGAAGAAGCCGAAAAGCCTGTGGAGACTGAGAAGGGTGAGGAAGCAGTGTCAGGAGCTGGGGCAGCAGTAATAAAGGAGATCCCAGAGACTCGTGGGGCTATCGAATCAGTGGTGACAGTGGAAGATGATTTTATCACTGTGGTGCAGACCATTGATGAGGCAGAGGAGCCGGGACACAGCGTTCGTTTCTCAGCTCCACCTGAGCCTGAAGCCCTTTGTGTTGCTGCCCAGAAAGATGAAGAGGAGGAAGAGGAGGAGTCTGTGGAGTTGGCCCAAGAGGCAGACATGGAGGCTGCCAGTCTAGAGGAGGTGGGTGAGGTGGATGTTTCTGAGACCGCTGCCTCCCCTGAGAAGGAAGCCAAACCCATAGAAACAGAAGGACTGACAGAAAGCTACGATCGAGATGAAACCACGATGGATGACTCCATTCTGGACAGCTCATGGGTCGACACACAAGGTGAGGTCTTTCTGATGCATTGTTCCTTAATAATTTTCCCTTCATCCCTTCTTCTCCTTTAAAGAACCAAATTAAATAGTTTAATGGTTTTCCTGCTTTGCTACCCTGCAGATGATGATAGTGGTATGGTAACAGAGCAGATCGAGCCTTTCCCCAAGGTGCCCAGCCCTGTCAAAAAGCCTGGTGTGGTCAAACAGAAGAAGCCAGAGAAACAGGAGAAGCCAGCCAAACCAAAGGCCAAGGGAGGGCGGGCTAAAGGTCGAATCTCCACACCAGAACGCAAACCTGCCTGCAGAGAGCCTGTCTACATTCCCAGAGACGAAATCAAGAAGAAAAAAGGTTTTTGTTATTGTGTTTTCATTTTTATTTCCCATGGTTTATTGCTTACCTGTACAGTTGCTTGTATATTTTACTAATACAGTGATTTGAATCAGTTTTTTCAACAACTTGGATAAAGGGATTTTTTTAGAATAATATGTTAACACAATTCAGCATCAGTCTCTGCTTGTTGTTGTTGTTTTCTCTGCTAATGTAGCTGTGATAAAGAAGACTGAGATTACCAAAAAAATGGAGGCTCAGACTCAATCCCCATCCCAGAAGAGTGTGATGAAATCAGCGGTCCGCCAGGCCCGCCCCACCCAGCACCACTCCTGCCCCAGGAGGAGGCCCACAGGTGACACATTGTGTTGGTCTGTCACAGTCACCAGAAGATCAGTGTCCACTGTCATCTTCCATTTGATTTTGACTTCCATTTTGTGTTAATAGTTGTAGTGATTTTGTTTTTTGTCATGTGGGTTTCTTTGTATTTGAATAAAATAAAAAATGATTAACTGCCATAATAGTTTCCTTTGGTTTCAGTGATCATTTTAGTTTTGTTTTCAGTGTGTGTGTGTGTGTGTGTTTTCACATTCTGTTTCTTAAAGAGTAACCTGAAATGCACTGTTTCACTGACATATTCTGCTTGAGTGTTTATTCGAGCGTTCAGATGTGTGCGTCATGTATTTGTAACAACACCAAATAGGTATTTCAGAGTACACTTGCACATCACTATTGCAAGATCAGAAAAAAAAATGAATTCATCTGGTGATAAGTTGCTCTTTGTTTTCATCATTTCCAGTAGACTTACTTTTCTGAGTTTGTAACACTTTTCTAACTTCTCCAGTGTTTTAAAGAATTGCATATCTACTCCTCCACAAGTTCATTTCAACCTATGGTTGCCAGGCAACTAGTAAGCCATGGTTTTGCTTTATGTGCTCAAAACTATATAAAGACTCTTGGCTCTAGAAAGATGTTGCTCTGTCCCAGAGGCAGTTAGCACTTCATTTTCCCCTGACACTGAATTCTGTGTCACTGGTGATAAAGGCCCAGTATTCTGCTGCATCACCTCAATTAGATTATTTTCCAGGGTTCTCTTACATAGTACAAAATTCCCCATTCTGTTTGATATCTTGCCAAATTGTTGCCGTATGCAGGGGCAGCAACCTGCTCACATAGAACATTTGATTTGCTGCGTGTCTTATGCATATTTCCATAATTATAGCCAGACAGGGATGAAAATATGATGGTAATCTCCCTTAGTTGAACTTTTCAAAGGCCGTTACTTCTTCTCCTTCAATGTATGAAGGTTAACAGGTGTTTTACATTCTGAGTGTTTTTATTTACCTGAAATTCTGTTTCTTTCTTGGTTCCTCAGAGGCCCTGCCAGACTGTCGTCAGCCTCTCAGCGTTGCAAGACAGTCTCGTGACAGAGCATCGGTGAGCATACACCTCCAGGCCAGTAATGGGACAACTAGCACCAGAGCCTCTCAGAGAAATACTATATCAGGACCTTACTGGCAAAGACTCTGAGTGACGCTTCAGCCTCCAGAAAACTATACGTGCCACCATGAGATCTGCTCTTTCATAGTTTTTAGCTTTACAGATTCCAAACCACTGCTTCTTGCTACCAGCTGCCTAGTGCATCTTCAGTGCGGACACTAAACACAGGATTACTTACACTGAACAATTATCTCTAGATTTAAGACTTATTAAAAAGCTAATATTTTTCTCTTGTGACTTCCAGATCACCCTGATCAAAACAAATTACATACAGTTGAAGCAAGTTTACTCCCTGCATGAAAACCAGTGCACTGAGTTTCTGATTTAATACCACTTTAAGTTAGCCTTTGTGTTTCATGAAAAATATTTATGTTGGTTGCTTTTTCTGTTTATAAAATCCTTGGTTTTGTTGCCCTGTCTAATGAGTGTTGCACAAGTAGAAAAGACAGATCCATTTAGAATGTTTTTTTCCTGAGTGGGTGTTGAATCACCTTGTGACATTTCTCCAGCGGCTATGGTCGTGACTTCATTTTACTCCTCCACCATGGTAATGACAGTTATTGTGTCTAAAATAACACAGTTTCTGCATTTCTTAAATGTCATGTCATTAGAGCATACATGTGTTAGTGTGTTCTGTCACTCTGGCTCCATATTATATGTCACTTTTCATTTACACATTCCTTTTACAGTGTTCAAACACATCTTTTACTATAGTCTGTCCTCTAACTCTTGCATGGACATGGTGAGCAACATACTGCAGGTTCTGTGGTGTTTTTTTTAAAGATGCACTTAATTGTGTTCACAGTGAATGTGCATGAATGCCTAAAAGATCTAATTTGATCTCATTCTTCATCTTAAAGGATACATCAGATCTTTTGCACTTTTTTCACCACTGTTTTGTCACCCTGTGTCCTGTGTTTGGTGCCATGCTACTCACCCACCGGGCCCCATCTCAGTGCCATGACCATTGTTTGCCACTAACAAAGATCCCCACCTCCATATCCAGAGTGGCCCCCTCATTAGATAGACTTCACCCATCTTCAGGAGAGCCTCGAGGCTCCCTAGTATTACAGAGGGTCATAGCCAAGGTATGTGGATAGTATAGCGGTGGTCTAGCTGCACGAATTCTGGAAAGAACATAAAAACATATTTGATTTGCATTGCCCACGTAAACCTGAAAAACAAATCACAGCCTCTTTCTTGTCTCTGGTGTGTGTGCCAGCAGGACGGAGGATCACAAAGCCCAGACAAGAGGTCCTCTCTGCCGCGACACTCCTCTGTCCATACTCGCCGTGGGCACCATGACCAAGAGGAGAGCTCCACCTCCATCACCAGCTCGGGCTCTACAGCTCCCCGCAGGCCCACATGTAGGCTGCAGCTCCATGATTCAACTCATTTTACAGAGGAACAGTGTTTATCAGGCATTAGGCAGCCTAAACCCAACCGCCCTCAAAGCAACTGATGCGACCAATATAAATTTCCAAAAGCAAAATATTTTGCCAAAGCTGATAAATTATTTGAAAGTCAGTGTGTTACTCCTCTGAAAAGTAAGTTGAAGTTCAGTTTATCAGAGATAATGTTTTAATTATTTTAACAAGTTGGAGTTTTAGTGCATCAATGTACAGTATAGTAGTTGAAATTTTCATAAAATATCTATTTTATCTTTGTTTAAACCAAAATAAACTGTATCTTACTTCGCTCATTCTGTGCTGATACCATAAGCTTATATTTCTCCTGTTCATCTCATTCTCCGTTTCATCATAACCCATTGCTTTTTGGTCAAATCCAGGTGAATGCAAACTCAATCTTAAGCCTTTCCTCTTTTGCCCTCTGTAGCATTTCGCACTGAGATGAGGGCAGAGCATAGGACAGGACGAGCCCCTAGTATGACAGGTAGAGGGGATTTTCTCTATCACTGTGATACTAAAAACTTTTGCTAGTGGACTGCTGTGATGGATTGCATTGGGTTGTACCGGTCTGCTTAATAAACTTTTCACTCAGTGGATGTGGTAAAAGGTTTTAATAAGACACTTGAAATAGTCTGTACTTCTGTTTTAACACAAAGCATCTGTATTGCAGAGTTTTGTTACAATACAAATGTTAAAATAGTCTTATGACAGTCGCTGTGATAGGACTTTATAGTAGAGCTCCAACTTTGACCATCATATTTCTTCCGACCAGTTACAGAATCAATACGTTCCCATTCGGCTCGCAGCGGCCACTCCACCCCACGCACACCTGGCTCCACAGGTATCACCCCGGGGACCCCTCCCAGCTATTCATCATCATCGAGGACCCCTGGAACCCCTCGCTCCCTCAGCTTGATCTCACAGGAGAGAAAGGTGGCCATAGTCCGCACCCCACCAAAGTCTCCTGCAACCACATCCAAGCAGCTTCGCATTATCAACCAGCCGCTGCCGGACTTCAAAAACATCAAATCCAAGATCGGCTCCACGGAGAATATCAAGTACCAGCCTAAAGGAGGACAGGTGATGCTTCTCCCACACTTCCCTCAAAGCGTACTGGCAACTTAATTATTTTTTCCACCTCTTGCATTCTCATTTTTAGTTTTTACTTGTTTTTCCTGGGCATCTCTGTTTTACTGTTGTTCTCAGAGTTAGATAGAGTCACTGAATAGTTACCAGGAAACATGCAGACATAACAGCCCCCTGTTAGGTCCTGATACAGTGCATGTAGATATAATTCATGTACAAAGAACCTTTATGATCCTACCAAAACTACAGCCCTACAGTTTTTTCTGATTTGATATGCTGATTTCCCACAGCCCCTGTCTCCTACCTATGTCACATTCATTGTCTTTTTTTGGTCTGTTAGATACCTCTTTTCATTGTAAGTCTTTCAGTCTTCC